GGGTCATCTCCAAAGTGAATCCATCTGTATGCAACTTAACAATTTGTGTACACTCCAAAATGTCTTTTGTGATATTTTTCCATGAGCTTAGAAATATACATTTTAAAAATATAACTTATAAAATATATGTATATCAATTAGTATCTCAACAAACAAATCATCAAATCTAAGTTGTTTTTACTTAACTCATATGAAATGGAATTATTACTAATTAATAGTAAACGAAGAAATCCAATAATACTTTTATCAAATGACAATTAGAAGATCACAATAAGTTATTACAAAAATGATTTTTATTTATATATTTTCCAATATTTTATTTTTAGCATTTTAGAGACCAACTACTTGTAGTGGATGGACTTTAGATCAGTGGTTGGATCTAAAGATATAAAACCCTAATTTACACAAAATATATATTTTTTTTAATACGGAAATTTGCATGTGTTGTTTTCAAGTTTGTGTACTTTCTAGTCTCTACGCGCAAGTCAAAATAGCAAAATATATATAAGATCTTTTTATTTTCCAATAATTAATGGTAAAATTTTCAATGGAATGCAGTTGGAAAAAAACATATATGTAGTTTAGGAAAAAAAAAAAAACATATATGTAAAAAGAATCCAACGATATTGTCTAAGTGAGAAACAACTGTCTCATACAACTAGAGATCCAAAGTTTGGTTTCACTAATTAAAGCTTTGATTCCAAAATGATTAGAAAAACATTTCAGTACTTACTTACTTATATAAAATTCTTATTCTTACATATTAAGAAGTAAAAAAGTACTGACAGTATATAGATAATGTGTGTTTGTGGTTTAAGCCAAAGTTGTTGCTATAAGAGATCTCTCTACAAATCAACAAGTATAAAGAGTCAAGCTTTTATTCACCAAGAACTTAGTAAATGCTTCTGAATATCTTTTTGCTCTCTTTCATTGAATATTTTTTCACTTTTGTAAAAAAAATCTTTCATTGAATATTTGTAGGTCCCAAATTTCATTTTTTTTTCTTCTTATTAGCATACCATTGTGTTTCTGTTGAGATTTTGTAGACATGTGAGATTCACGGATAGCACAATTTAGTTACAAATCTCACCACTTGGTTAGTCAATTCTATTTTCTAAACTATTATAGAGTAGACATTATCACATTTGGTAATGACTTTTCTTTTCTGAACATCTTAGAAAAAATAATTTGTCAGATTTTAATAATCAATGTGAGATTTCTTCACATGATCACAAAATTTAAGCAATCGATTATACAATGTTCCACCACTTTAAATGCCTACAAGAGACGATATAGAATTTTAGTAAACTCATTTGTTTTTTTTGTTACGGTTAAAATGGATCCCCTTTTTTTTTTTTCTATAACCAAGGTATGATCAAGGTAGGTGTCGAATAGTTTACTAATCGAATTTTTTAATTGACCTCAACCGTAGTACCATTTCGACTGGTCAAATGGAAGTAAAAATGTACTAAAAGAGAATCGAACTCATATTGGAAAAGTTTTCTCATTCCCGTGAGTCGTTTTACCACTAAACCACCACCTCTTAGTTAAAAAGGAGAAGTTCATGGCCTATATCGGGAAAAAATCGAGTCTTATATCCATGTCTCCCCATCGGGATTAATTCCTCCCAAATAGCCTCGAACTCATTTGATTTTGTTCTTAGAAATCGTTTTACATCATATATGTATATCACAAATTTGATCACATTGAAAATGATTTTTGTTTTTAATGAACAGTTTCTCTTATTTTAATGAACAGTTTCTCTTATTTATTACAAGTTTGAGATTGACAGGCTTTCCAATTGTTATATGGAATCAGTTTTTGAACGATGAGATAATGTCAGGAAGAAGAGGCTCCACAAAAAGCCACATGATGACTTCATTGAGAGATTTTCTTAGTAACCAAATTACAGTCTGGTGCGAGCTAACAATTTTGTTCCCAAAATATATCATTTTTTTCTTATTTTTTAACATTTTGCTTACCCTGTTTTCTTCAATGTCCTTTTCTGCATTTCTCATTCAATAAGAGACCCAAAATTAGATTCCAAAAGATAAAAAGAAAGGAGTCATTTCAAAGAAACAGACAGTTTTACAATCAGAAATCAGATTTTTTTGTCCTTAATAGCTCTAATCAGACTTTTTAAAGTCAACAATGAAAAACAGAGTAATTGCTAAAGGCAAAAACTTTTCTGTTCTAAAACTTGGAAGAAACTGTTCTAAGTAGATAAGAAGATAGGTCATTAAAGAGCGGTTTTTTCGCGACGAATTTTGATTGATGGATCGATCAAACGGGAATCGTCTTCAATCCTGCAGCTATTGGCATACCCAAGAAACCTATGATGATACTGAAGATCCATTGAGTTATTGTGAGTGGTGTTGTGCTTGCAAATGTGCCCAAGAACTCAATGATTATGATCTGGAAGAAGACCGTTGCACCGATCACAACCACAAAGACGTAATTGTCCAGTATTCCCTTGAAAACATCGATCTCTTCCATCTCTCGCGAGCTTATCTCGTTAAACACCTGAAAGTTTTAAGACCAAAGTCATGTCAAGATTCAATTCAAGAACCTATCTTTCTAGCTCGAGGATTGTTATCGTGTTTGTTTTTTACCTGACAGAAGACGAAACAGTTGAAGATAAGAGTGTTTAGCATGAGAGTTGAGTCAGGACCGTCGAGACCAAACACAGACTTTCCTTTAGCTTGGAGAAACCAAATGACGATGAATTGATACACAGCTTGTCCTAAAATGTTCCTCCACATAGCATTAGTGATGAAATTCCCTCTCCTTCCAACGGGTAAACGTTTCATCAGCTCGTCATTCGGTGGCTCTGTAGCTAAAGCAAGAGCTCCAAGTGTGTCCATGATCATGTTCACCCATAGCAGTTGAACAGCAGTTAAAGGAGCACTTCCTGAAGATTATAAACAAGAGATGTGTTCATTAGAGACCCGAAATGATTGTTTTCGACAAAATTGAACCGATCTTTTTTTGTTTGTTTCTTTACTCACCGGTTAAGCAAGCTGAGGAGAAGTTAACAATCAGAGCAACAACATTAACAGTAAGTTGAAACTGAACGAATTTCTGGATGTTAATGTAAACAGAACGCCCCCATCTAGCAACTGTGACGATCGTGCTGAAATTATCATCGAGAATGATGACATCGGCACTCTCTTTCGCCACCTAAAAGGTTAATACAAAGAAATAAACTTTTAGATTCTTTAGCTCACAAATGACATTTCACAATTCTTATGTACTCACTTCAGTTCCGGCAATTCCCATTGCTAATCCGATATCAGCTTCATGAAGTGCAGGTGCATCGTTTGTTCCATCCCCAGTCACAGCAACAACTTCATCAAATGTTGTCCTCAACTGTTTCACAAGTGTATGTTTATCCATTGGCGAAGAACGAGCCATCACCTGTCAGAAGAAGCGAAAAGTTTTGTAATATGTATCGAAAACTCAAAAGAAAAGCCAAGTCTTTAACTCAAGAAACATTAAGTACCTGAATCTTTGGAATCAGTTCAAGTAACTCTTCTTGACTCTTCTCTCTGAACACTGGACCTTCAATTGCTATACCATCATCAGTTAAAATCCCACATTCTCTAGCAATCGCTTTCGCGGTGTTAATGTTATCGCCTGTAACCATTCTCACAGTGATTCCAGCACGGCGACAAAGCTCAACAGATTCTTTGACACCAGGACGAACAGGATCTTTGATTCCAACAATCCCTACACAAGTAAATCCTGAAGCCGGGATTGCTTCATCCGGCGAGAACCTGTTGTCAACATCCATATAAGCAAGGCAAAGAGTACGAAGAGCTTCATTAGCAAACTCATCAATTGTAACATTCAGATACTTGATTGATTCTTCATCAAGCGGAACAACGTCACCGCTCGAGTTTACAACTTTATCACAAGCAGCCAGAACAATCTCAGAAGCTCCTTTCGTGTGAGCACGCCGACTTCCTCCCTCGGGAAGCTCGATTACAACTCCCATTCGCTTCTTTGTGGAGTTAAAAGGCTCAACTTTGATCACTTTATAACATTTCCTCTCTTCCTGAAACTTACCACCAAGAGATAATCCAAACTCCAATATAGCAGTCTCTGTTGGCGTCCCCAAGATCTCGGTTTTCCCATGTTTGTTCACAACAACTTCGCCTCCCGTGTTATTGAAAATCGACTGAATCAGTAATTTCAGAGCAGACTCCGGGATTTCTGACTGCAAGCTAGAGCCTTTACTAGCTACATCTTGCACGCTCATGCAAATGCAAGACTTCACTACGGTCATGTGATTAGTTGTGAGTGTACCTGTCTTATCACTGCAAATCGTCGTTGCAGATCCCATTGTCTCACAAGCTGCTAAATGCCTGACGAGAGCTTTATCGTTCATCATTTTCTTCATCGCAAACGCAAGACTAAGAGTC